AGGTGCAACAATGAATGAATGGAATTCCAAAATCTCTGTAGATGTTGATTGAAATGAAAATTAAATAAAATTAAAAGGGTTATGTGCAAAATCTGAAAAAAAAGATCATTTATATGGATGGGGAAAGTAAAGATTACAATGTTATAAAGATTAACTAACAATAGTTACATATTTAATAATTCTTGTTTTTTGAAAAGAATAAAAGTATCAGATGTGGTGGTGGTGGTGGTGGTGTGACAGTAGTGAGAACCAACCCATAGCTGATCCTCCAGCGGGTTTTCAGAGGTGGTAAATGGCATGGGAGGAGATTGCCCAGCCTTCTCCCGCAGGGCGGCTGGTGGATTCAAGCCTGCCTTCGTGCTTGCAGTGCAGCTTCTCACCACTGGGGCACCAGCGCTCAGATAACTGTGGTAGGCCGGGAAATCCAGAATTCAGGCTGCTGTAGTTAGGAGCTTCCTCCACAAGTCTAAATGTGAGAATAGGATTTCCGACAGACAGGCTAAGACAGTGATTTGCAAATGTGAACAACGTACAGACGCCCTTTGAGGAATAAAACATCTTCTGGGACCCCACAGATTTTGTCAGGGACCCTGTGAAAAGCTGCCATTCAACCTTGACCTTCAGGAGTTGCCTGGCATCATCATCTAGATGCAGGCTCCAAACTGTGTTTTGATTTTGTTTTAAGGTTATTCGGAGAATTCCGTATTTTCGATTTTTAATGCCAATCTATAATTTTATTTGCTTTTCAGTAAGTTTAAATCCTCGAGGGGTGCAGCATTCCATGGATTCTGTGTCTGATGGGCTTAGCTGGAAGGTTGCTCCAGAATTTGGCCCAGACTATGCCCCTGTTTCCATGGGCATGAGTTACCTTCCCCAGTTTATTCTGGTTTTGTTAGGTTTGCCACCAGGCACCATTATTTTCTGCTTGGTAAACATAGCCACATCTCTTGCCTAAGTAGAATACTGTTTCATCTCAGACATAAACACTTTCAATTTTAAGAAGCTCTGGGTGCTCCCTCTGGTTCCAGAGACCCACAAACAGCCTTGCACCACATCCTTCAGCCATCTTTGTGGCTCAGAAGTCCTGTTCCCAGGAGGTCGTCATGGGCTCCAAAATGCCAGAAAAAGGAATTCAGTATTTTCTTACGTTAAGTTTTTCCAATTTGTTGAGAAGGAAATAGGATTTTTAAAATTTTTTTAATAGTACTTGATACCAAGAGGTCTGTTTGAGAAACAGTATGATTAAGGCAACTTTCTACGCTTTCATTTTAGAATTTTTTTTAAACAACCTTTGTTTTTTTTTAATGCTCATAGAAATTTCTGAGGCCGATATTTCACTGTGGATGCTGATGCTGTCCTCGCTCTTGGGTGCGTGAGTCTATGACAGCAGAACTGCCTCACAAGGTTTTTTTTTCCGCTGTAGTCTTTACAGTAACAGATCACCAGGTCTTTCTCCTACAGAGCCACTGGGTAGTTTCAAATCACCAACCTTCTGGTTAGTAGCCAAGTACTTAAATGCTTGCATAACCAGAACTGCTTAGCATATGAATAATGTCCCTTTATTTTCTGTTTTTATTAAGGCCATTATTGAGTATTTCATACCAAAAGAAAAAGGGTCCCTACCGTTTATTCTTTTCTAAAGTTCAGGTCTAGACTAAGTAAGTTTCTGATGAGCGGCTGTTTCCTTCGGGTGAACGATGAGAATAAGCCAGTCTACTGATGTTGTTACTGTGTGTCATTAGGTTGGCACCAACACATAGCTGACTCTCCAGTGGGTTTTCAGAGGCTTTAAATCTTACATCAGGAGTTTGCCCATCTATTTCCCACAGAGTGACTGGTGGATTCAAACTGTGGGCCTTTGGGTTGGCAGCAAAACTCCCTTACCACTGGGCCACCAGAGCTCCCTCCCAGTCCATTGAGTAACTCTCTTTGTCTGTGAGGAGGCTCAGGACAAAATTGTGTTTTTTCCCTCATGTGTCTTCTATTGTTTCATTGGTTTTGCAGTGTTTTCCCTATTGGTTCCTTCAGGAGTTAGAGGTATAAATGTGCAAACTGAGGTTAGAACAGTGGTAGCACCTTGTATTAAGTTAGTAATGATTAGAAGAAAGGATTTGTCAAAGAAAGGAAGAAGACAGTGTGTTAGGTGAGGGGATTTAAAGGTGTCAGAGAAAAGACTCAAATTCTTAAAACATTGGCAGATGCCATGAGAGAGAAACAGAGCAGGCCACAGGGAAAGATGCTTTCCCAGCTCAAGCCCTGGTCTGGTTTCCTCCCTGTGTCTAGACTTGGTCCAAATACGGAGGTTAGTATTCTTGACTTGATTTCTCTCTCTGGTCCTGGCCCCTCACAGGTTTGGTCCCTACTACACTGAGCCTGTCATTGCTGGCTTGGACCCAAAGACCTTTAAGCCGTTCATTTGCTCTCTGGACCTCATTGGCTGCCCCATGGTGACGGATGACTTTGTGGTCAGTGGCACCTGTGCTGAACAAATGTACGGCATGTGTGAGTCCCTCTGGGAACCTAACATGGTGAGTTGGTGGCATAGGGACAAAGAGGGGCTCCAAGGCACCCATTCCTTGGTCATCAGGGAACGTGTGTTCGCTTGCCAGGTAGGGGAAAGGATGGTAGAAAGCAGCTGCGAAAGCTACAGCTCTTGCTACTTGAGTGTTAACAAACACCATCTAGTTAAAAAAAAAAAAAAGAAACACCATCTCTCTAGTGTGTTCATGCCACCTGACTCCAGAGGACAGTGCCTTTGTCAAGAGGCCAATCAGAGATTTGTTGATAGTTCCTCACATTGGGCTTACAGGGCCTTCATATCCATTCACTGAATGAACATTTAACAAAATACGTAGGGTTAGAGGCACCACAAACAAGTGGACTCTGGAGCCATGTTAATGCAGGTTTGAAATCTGGATCCACTAATCACTCACTCACGCTCTTGGGTAAGTCATTTCATTTTACCTCTTTGTGCCTCAGTTAACTGTAAAGGAGTAATAATAGAACTTACTTTTGAAGTATTTTTGTGAGAGGAAACTCCTGAAGGGTAGAACAGTATCAGCAGTAAAGGTTGGCTAGTACACTCCTGCCGGTGAAGCCTGGCTACCATCTGCCACTCTGGGAAACCAACACTGGCTGTCTTCAAGGAGCTTATGCACGTGAATGAATAAGAAGAAATCATTTGCCTGGAATAACAGAGGAGAAAGGACCTTCTTGTTGGTAGAAGGACTAGCACATGCCGAAGTACAAGAATGTTGTGTACTTAGTGACCAAGAAGAGCTCCATGTGGCCAGGGTGTGGGTGGGACATGAGACAATGGAGAGAAAATGGAAGGAGACCTTGAATACCATGCTGGAGTTTAGACTTTGTTCCCTTAGGCCTGGTGCCAAATGTGACAAGGAAGCAGTGAGGCCAGAACTCTCCAAGTAGGCGAGCCAGACTTAGAGTCACCTGCAGGAGGTGCTGAGCTCCTGGCCGAAGACAGTGGCAACAGGGAGTGGACAGGAGTGAGGGAGGCAGAGATAGGGAAGAAGGTTGAGTTTTCTGGCTGATGTGTGGGGCAAAAGAGCCTCCTGATTGAGTTTGAGGTTCCTGTGGGACACTGAAGGGGAGAGCTCATCAAACAATTGATGGAGGCAAATAGGAGTTGGAAGGACTGGGGGCTCAGCGAAGGGTCATGTGGCTCTCCTAAGATCATACTAGTTAGTGCAAGATATTTGAGGCTTAAAAGTTCTCCTCACTTTCTGTTACATAATCCTCTCTTGTCAAAGAAGGAATGGAGGGACCCTCCACATCTAGAGAACAACCTCCTGAGCTTGGAAAAAAAGAGTTAAAGAGCGAGAACACATTATGGTCTTGAGGCCCTGAAGTTTGAGAGTTCTACTCTGTTGACAGGATCCAGACCACTTATTTGAAACCATCTCTCAAGCCATGCTGAATGCTGTGGATCGGGATGCAGTGTCTGGGATGGGAGTCATTGTCCACATTATGTAAGTATGAGTTGAGAGAGGTGTAGAACTTTGCAGGCACGTCCTTCTCTCACAAACACAGTCTTCCTGGTCTGCGGAGTGAGTATGAAACAAGAATGGTGCAGTCTTTAATAGCAGAAATTATGCTTCCTTAAGGATAACAGGTGGGAGGCTACCTGGCACTTGTGATTAGCCTCCATGACCTTGAGTCCCCTCCTGCCAACAATTCTTTTGTCTAGCAGTACCCCCAGAGTCTTGGATCTGTGTGGGAATGAGCTGCTACGTATAGATTTGAAATCCTAGGCATGTCCTCATCTACTGATTCCCACCAGTCTGGAGCCCAGAACTGTGTGATATGCAGAGCTCCACCCTGCTCCCTAAATGCTATTTATTCCTTTCACATACTAGTTTAAAGCTGTCAGGCACTTGTTTGGATGGAATAGAAAATGACATCCCACCTCCTTTCCTTTAGGGGATGGATGGTGGGACAGGGTGCATCCCAAAGAAAGCACTCTTTGTTACTAATTACCATGATAATTCAATGGCAGTGTATCACTCAGGTCTTTGCATGTATAGTGGGGTGACACTTCTAGAAAAATTCGCACTAGGGTCTTCTTTCTCCATCCTTGGCTCTTCTACACCCTCACCCAAGCCAGGTGCAGGAAAGAGTAAATGTTAACGTGACATGAGCAAAAAGCAAAACAGTTACTTCAGAGATAAGACAGCTGTACATAGTGCGCTCTTGACAAGGAGTGGGACTTGAAGAGCTGGTGCCAGGGGAATAGAGGCAGGCAGGCTGGCTGATTGTAGATGTTTTCTTAGACTTTGTCTTTTTACAGTGAGAAGGATAAAATCACTACCAGAACGCTGAAGGCCCGAATGGACTAACTTTCTCTTCCTCCCTTACCCTCAAGCCCATTTCTTCTTTTTTAAAATAAAATAGTTTTCACTATTGCCTGTTGCTTCATCTTTGATAGCTTTACCATCGTTCTCTGTCCCCAGCTGGGCAGTCACAAGTAATTGCCCAGGCTTCTTGAACCCCACAGGTTTTCTTCTTGGTTATACCAGTGGGCATAATCTCCTAATCACCTGGTGGATGCCTGTTAATGTGCTAGGCACGTCACAGAGTACATTATATTATACTAGAATACAATCACCATAATGACTCAAAGTAGTCACTTTATTCTTTTTGTAGATGTGAAAAGTGAGACCATAAGTTAGTCCAGAGCTGCTTCATTAAGGGGTCAGCTCCACTCATTGCCTTTGAATGTCAACTGCCTGTCTTGGTTTGCAAGACAGAATCACACAGGAAGAGACTGCCCGTCTTTATCTCCAGGAGCTGCTGGTAGATCTGAACCTTTGGGTTAAAAAGTTCTTTTAGCTGCCAGTCCTTGACACCACAACCTTAAGTCTCACATCTGTTCTAGAAAACATCACATGCACCAATCGGGTAGCGTCGCCTTTGGATTAGCCACGTAGCACTATGACCTTGGGCACCCACCAGAGCTCCCTAAGTAGCAGAGAATGGATATAAGCTTTTGGACCATTTGACTCCCAAGACCTAGAATCTTTTCTCTGAACTTTATTGGGAAGCCCATGTATCTCTTTTAAGGTAGAAATCTGATCCAGGTGCCTGCAAGTTCCTTCTTTTTAGATCACTATTTACAGTGACCTTGGGATCCCTGGAGGGTGCAAATGTTAATGTGCTCAGCTCTAATGGAGTTTAGAGGTTTGGGTCCACTCAGAAGTATCTTGGAAAAAAGCCTTGGCCTTCTCATTTCAAAAAAAGACAATCATTGGCAAACCCCTATGGACTGGAGAGAGGGGTGGGTAAAGAAAAGAGGAAAGATCTAGTGTGAAAAACAATGTATCCAAACTTTGTTAAGTATATCAGCTTAAAAGAAAATTTTTATTTAAAACCCCCCAGAAACCACTATGGAGCATAGTTCTGACACAGAATGGTGCCATGGCAGTGAGCTGACGTGCACACTAGAACCATCGGGGGAACTTCTGCTAGTGCTGACCTTTTAAGATTCTTTCAGTGCCCAGACTTGTCTTCTAACCTTACCAGGTGATTTCCACACACCTGGTAATGCACCAACTTCCGAGTCTACACCCACTCAGCTCAGTGGATTCCTACTTGCATCTACTCTCCATCAGGTTTCTGAGACAGTCAAACTTTGCAGGACATCACCCCATCTTTCTCCCACTGAGCAGCTGGTGGAGTCAAACAGCCGCCTTTCTGCAGCACTTAACAAGCACTACTATTTTGCATTTGTATTTAAAAAAACTCAACAATAAAAAACAAAACCAACACTTAGTGGGAACAGACCCTACCTGGGTTTCCCAGGCCATACAAATCCTTCCTTTGGTAGAAGATTGCCCATTTTTCTCCAAAGGATTTGAAATCCGATAGTGGATTTGAACCATTGAACTGAACCTCTGGATTAGAGCATACTCACTGGGTGTTTATCAGTTTACTGGAATTAGCTAGAGGGAGGGTTTATGAAAAGAAAGCTTCAGATTGAGTACATCTGAGATGGGGTCTGAAAATTTGCCTTTCTGAACAATTCTCAGGTGCTACTAAAAGCTGCTGGTCCAGCCTGCTTTGAGAACCACTAGGTTTTTAGCCGAAGACTACAGGCATAATGCGGTCATAAAGCAAGTCTCCACATTTTTGGTTTCCCAGTCCTAAAGGCATGTTTATACCATAGTCTAGTAAATGTGCAAGAACATTATAAAAAATTGAACATTGTATTACCACACATGTGCAAGAACTGCTTGTGTTCACTAACACAGGCTGTTGGAAAGATGGTATCCATAAACATGCTCAATACTGGGCTGCCACAATCTTTCAATTTGTAAACCACACAGTTACCTGTGAATGAAATGAAGCACGCCTGTTTTTAGAGTCTAGCTAGAGAACTTGAAGCACACAGAAATGACTTGTTCCAAAGTGCCCAGCCAGCGTTCAGTTCACGCCCCGGCTGGAGAGGATACAAAAAGCAGCCAGCAAGGCCTATCGGCCGAAGCACTCCACTGCTCACCAGGCTTTAGAAGCTGCCTCAGCAAACAATGGCCAAACCCTTCTCATTCTGAGGGAAAAAAACCCCAAACAAACCCACAAAACTCCTTAGGCACTCACGTAAAACAGATGTACACAAAGCTTTTTGAGTTTTATTTTTTCCTCACGCTGGAGATTCATCTTAACATGCATGCATTTTAAAACATTAACAGGGTCTCGAACTGTTCCGAGCAGACATTAGACAAGCACAGGGAGTTGAAAATTCCTATTTAAAAAATGGAAATTGCAGTGGGAATTGAGAAGTCACACACATATGGTAGGGTGGCTGTTTATCCTATTTCCATAAAAGTTGACTCTAAACTTCACATTTTTGATCGCAATGATCTGACTTGGTGTTGGGTGTGCTGAGCAGCACTGGGCATCCCCTTAACGGTTGCTCCCACCTCCTCACAAAATGGCTCTGAGCAATAGGGAGGGCCTCAAGTTCCCAAGCCTCTGAGCCCCACTCTCTGTGATTTCAGCACAAACCCTCAAAGGGCGTCTCCCCTTCCCCTTTGGGGCACTATTCACAGGCAGTGCATCCCTCTGCATCTGCTCCCTGCACGCGGCTGGTGGACTTGGGGCAGCTGAGTGCTTCTTCCCTTTGATTCTGTGCTCAGGCCAGACCCATCTCCTCCATTGCTGCCAGAAAGGTGAGGTCGGTAGACTTCCAGGGAGCCACGGGTAAGGCCAGCACTCCACATGACTCCTTCTAGCCGCCAACATTTGAGTAACTCAAGTGCTGAGGAGAAGGCACTCAAGTTTTTTCCCCTCGACAGTTAGGGGGCTGGAGTTGACTACTGAGAAAATCCTGGGTCTTTGGTCATCTCCCCAGGGCAGGCCCTGACAGACTGAAGAGGAGACAGTAACCGGGGCAGGAGTCTAGTCTGCCCTGAGCACTACCAGGGACCTGAGGAGGCAAGAGAGTGGAGTAGGAAGAGAGGGAGAAGAAGAGCTGCCAGTGGTGGGAACTGGGCCACAAGGATGACTTGTGGCACTTGCCATAGACCAGAAACCCCTGAGCTAGAGAAGGAGATGGGGTACTGCTTCACACTGGGCTCCTGGCATTGCTGGCTTCCCAGCATACCCTGTTACCCCCAAACCACTGGGGTGCACAGAGAAGGGTCATGTGCTGGGGAACACAAAGACTCAGTGGTTATCAGGAAGAAGGGCACAAGCCTTCCATCGAGTGCTCTTCTGAGTAGTTTTTGCCTCACTTCGGCTGGGAGACTGTAGTCTTAACTGTAGACTTTCAGAGAGGGATGGGTGGAAGTTCCTGACTGGACACTACTTCTTGGGTGGTAGAGTGAGGAAAGGAGAGAGGAATCTTGCTATTACCCCATCTAGCATCTCACCCAATCAGCCATGTCCTACCCTTTTGACTTTTTTGGGGGGGAAGATCCCAAATAATTCTGGGAAACACTGTAAGACTTAGTTGGTCTTCATTGCCCCAGGAGCAAGGCTGAGGCCGTCGACTCTGCATTTTGTAGGAAGAGGACAGTAGGACACTTGCAGAGAAAAGATGGAAACAAAATCATGAGGGCTATATTCACTTTCTCTTCATTCAAAGAGGGGAAAGGGGGAGGGAAGTGTATGAACCAAGATAAACAGCTTTTGAAATGCCAAAGAACTATAGGGCCAAACCAGAGGTTCTGGAGATGCACAGAGTGACAAAGGTGAATGGCCTTTTACAAAAAAATCTACCAAGCCATAGCTCAAATGTTTCGACTCAATCAACAATACTGTCCGGAAAAACAAAAACAGCATTTGAAATAGAATGCTACCTTTCAAAAAATGTAAACAATATACAAAAACAAAAACCCCTCAATGTTAAACAAGTTAGATACCTGGTAGTTGTCTTAAATGATAAGATTGTGTTACACTTTTCATACACATACAGTATGGCAACATGATCAGCAAACCAAATGCAGAGAACTGGGTGGAAGCTGGAGGCGGTGGAGGCAGCTGGAGGCCAGCTTTCCAAGCACTGCAGATGCTGAGCTCCACCAGGAGCGGACTCAATTTTCATTCTTGATTATGAGGTGGGGAAATAAAATTTGTTGTCTCTATGATCCACTTGGTTCCAGGTTCTTCCCGCTTCAACAAGCGGCCTTGCTGCAGACGTGCAGCTTCCTGCGAGAGGGGCAGGGCAGTGGGTTGACCCCATCTGCCTCTTCCAGACAGGTTTCCGACACACCAGCAGCCTAAGTGGAGTCCAAGAATGCGTGTTTCATTCCTTCCTGATCAAAATGCTATGGGAAGGCTCCCCAGAGACAGGGCACAAGGACAGAGCTCCAGAAGCTGAGGGTGGCCAGGTTCGGAGGGAGTTACAGGAAAACAAACCATTCATTCACAATGATTCCACAAATCATCCTGGCATCTTTGGGGTATCTACAGGTTTTACCACCTATCACTCTAAATTCTCAGTTCCTGGAGAGGGGTAAGAAGATGAAGGAATGTACCACCCCCAATGCAGAGGAAGGGGCCATTTCCTTTCCTTGCCAGACTGCTCTGATGACATCATAGTTCAATTCTGAGGGTCCACCAGCAGGCTATGAAGGGAAGTGGAAATCCTGAAGGAAGCTGCAGGATGCCACTCTTTCTGAGACAGCCAGCAGTGGGGGGTGTGCTGGCTCAAAGTCTGGGCTCAAGTCAGACCCCACACTAAGTCTTTAAGTTGCATTTCCTAGGTCACATCTCAAGGGACTGAGAAGCAACTTCGGGCTTCGGTGCCATGCTCCCTGTTGGCTGATCTCAGGAGTGCTGGGATTCTGTAACCATTCAGGTGACAAACCATAGGCACCAGGAGCCAGATTACTTATGTGGTAGCTATGAGGCTCGACGAGGTATCTCCGCAAAGGGCACTCTGGGTACTCAAG